GGTTTACAGAGACCCTGCCTTGGAAAACAAAAACAAACAAAAAATGCTTCCAAAGTTTCAGCTATGCATCTATCCTCCCTCTCAGCCCATGACCCACACTCATCCCCACCCAGTTTAGTGAGAAGTTGCTGTTCCAAAAAGAAGAAAAGGGAGGCACAAATTCAACGATTATGCATGAGAAGTAAACCCAATCCCCTTAGATCTATCCTGTGACAGTGGTGGTGGGGAACCAATACACAGTGTAAAACAAGAGGATCCTTCCCCACCAGCCAAATAATCAAGAAACCTGTCAGATCTATGAGCACACATCAAGATGAGGAGCAGGGCTGTCAGATATGGCTCAGCTATTAAGCGCACCTGCTGCTCTTGCAAAGGGCCCAGAACCCATATAAAAGCTCGCTCCTAATAATTCAAGTTACAGATCTGACATCCTCTCCCAACAACCTCAAGTACAGCACACAATGCAGCACACACATACATGCAGGCAAACACTGAAAACACATAAAATAAAAATAAATTAATTTTTAAAATGTTTTAAGAGAGCGAGGAACAGGACCGGAGAGATGGCTCAATGGTTAAGAGCACTTATTCTTGCAGAAGACCTGGGTTCAGTTCCCAACACCCACATGCTGGCTCATAACCATCTGTTACTCCAGTTCCAGGGAATGCCCAGTTCTAACCTCTTTGGGGGACCAGGCACACACATGGTACATATATATAAAAGCAAGCAAAACACTCATACACATACATTTCAAAAAATAAAATCACTAAACAACAACAAACAAGATAGTTGGGGATGGAGAAATGGCTCAGTGGTTAAGAGTACTACTAGGTCCTCTTATAAAAGACCCAGGTTCAGTTCCCAGTACCCACATGATGACTCACACAACCTTTAACTCCAGTTCTAGGGAATTCAGTGCCTTCTTCTGGCCACTGTGGGAAGCAGGCACATACACAAGATCTCTGTGTACACACACACACACACACGCAGGTAAAATAAATAAACAAAATACATTATGAAAAAAGATAACAAGGAACCAGGTAGAAGTCAAACTATGACACTGAAACGGATTAATATGAGGCTCTGATTTGGTCCATGACACTACAATACAAAATTGTGCGGGTGTAGTTGAGGATAAGCATTGTGGCAAGATACAACGATAAGATTAATGACAGTCCATATCAAGACAGAGTATTCTTTCTGACAATTCACTTTTCTACCTTCAAACCACCTAAGGATATATTTCAAGAACTTTCATTCGAATAATAACAGTAATAGTAGCATCTGTCTCCACAGTCTAAGATCAGTGATCATCTGCTTTAACTATTTCTTTTTTTTTAAATATTTATTTATTTATTATGTATGCAATATTCTCTCTGTGTGTATGCCTGCAGGCTAGAAGAGGGCACCAGACCCCATTACAGATGTTTGTGAGCCACCATGTGGTTGCTGGGAATTGAACTCAGGACCTTTGGAAGAGCAGGCAATGCTCTTAACCTCTGAGCCATCTCTCCAGCCCCTGCTTTAACTATTTCTAAGTCACTCTATTTGTTCACTGTTTTGATACAACTGTCCATGATTCTTTAGTGCCACAGATTGCACAGATCTATAAAACAAAGATACATTTAAGAGATTATATTGGGAACAAAGTCAAAAACACGTCACATGATATGACCTTAAAGTCAGAATAGCCTGCATTATTATTACTGGGATAAACTTTAAATCACTACTGCTCTTTTAATTCTTATTTGGCAGTTCCCTTCTCAGACCTCTTTTTAATTTTGTTTACCACTTTCCCATTCAGTCACTGGGTCACCTAGGCCTTAAGTTCTTTCAGTTTTGTACATAACTTTTAAAAGATTTAATCTTACCATTTATGTGTCTGTGTATGCTTACATGTGCATATGCCAAACACATACAGGTGCCCTTGAATGCCAGAGGAGGGTATCAGACTGGCTGGAGCCAGAGTTATAGGCAGTTGTGAGCCACTGAACATGGGCACTTGGATGCAAACTCAGATCTTCTGGAAGAAGTATGGGGGTCTTTCCTGTTGAGCTATGACTATACTGCTTTTAGAAAACTGCATTGTAAGATAACAGTTACTCAAGATTATGATTTACAGGGTTTCTCTGTGTAGCCCTGGCTGTCCTGGAACTCATTCTGTAGACCAGGCTGGCCTAGAACTCAGAGATCTGCCCGCCTCTGCCTCCCAAGAGCTAGAAAATGTAGCCACCACAGCCTGGCTACATTTTTTTCTTTTTTTTAAAATTATTTATTATGTATACATTGTTCAGCCTCCACGTATGCCTGCAGGCCAGAAGAGGGCAGATCTCATTACAGATGGCTGTGAACCACCATGTAGTTGCTGGGAAATGAACTCAGGACCTCTGGAAGAGCGGTCAGTGCTCTTAACCTCTGAGCCATCTCTCCAGCCCCCTGGCTACATTTTTTTTAAGTGGAGCAAATATATTATGTGGCCATGCCCTCGCTCTGATGTGATGGAGCGAATGAATTGTATTATGTGGCCATGCCCTCGCTCTGATGTGATGGAGCGAGTATATTGTATTATGTGGCCATGCCCTCGCTCTGATGTGATGGAGCGAGTATATTGTATTATGTGGCCATGTCCTCGCTCTGATGAGATGGAGAGAGTATATTATGTGGTCATGCCCTCGCTCTAACCTGACGAGATGAAACCATTCCTCACTGGTCTACCATGATGAAGAATCACCTGAGTGAGGAAAAAACATAGGTATTTAGTTATCCCACCATAGGATAAAACATTTTAGCAGCGTCTGTCCTTGTTTAAGTTAAGTCTCAAATTACAGAATATTCTTTATGATCTAACTGATGGGTTAGAGAACTGGCTTTGAATCTGTAGCATTAACATGGAAAGACAAACATCCTTTGTATTCCAAAATATGGTCTCTAAACAGTTCTTAATTTTCATTTAAATTGCTAGGAGGTTTGGAGCTATGAATTCATCTTGCAAGAAAACAGATGATGCGAATTAATAATGGATGAGCAATTACCTAACAGGTTTGTTAGTAACTAATTTAGTTTTATTCAATAAAGTTACGCGGCGGGGGCGGGGATATGATATCGAGATCTTCTGGTGATACCTTCTTAGGAACTTGACAGATATTTGCATATATGTCACTAAATACTGCCAAAACATTCTCAGAACATCGAGGCTGGTTGATACTCACATGGAGTAGACCAGAACTTCTCTTCTCTGCCAAAAACATTTATTTGGCACTCTTAACTTTTGCCAAGTTGGTAGTCATAAGCTTGTTTTTCTATCCTATGGCACTAAGCATTATGTCCAGGACCTTTTATAAGCTAGGTGTGCACTCAACTGCTACATTCCCAGCTCCACACTATATTTTAAAAATTAAAGCCATCTGTCCTCACATACTATTTGGACACTGAAACTACTTCCACTTCTGTCGTTTATATTGGGATGCCTTTTCTAGAAGATTATAATATTTTCATTACCCAAGTAGGATGGATGTCTGTTACAAATTACCCAAATGATGGGTCAACCTACCAACAACTTGCACTCTATAATTTTCCAAGTTTGCATCCTAACTTTGCCTCAAAGTTCTCAACAATCCTGAATTGATGTGTGTGTGTGTATATATATACATATAAAATGCGTAAGTCTGTATATGTATATATGTGTGTATAGTACGTATGTACACACACACACACACACACCCCAATTCTAACCAAGTTCCTAAATACAAAGTTCCAGTTCAGAGAGAAGTTCCAGTTTCACCTTTTGTCTATTTCACTGTCAATGCTATGGCGAGGTTGTTGCTATAAAGCTTTAAAAGCCTGCCGTTTTAGCAACATGTTGTTAAGACCATTCTTGTGTTTGCCCCCATCTCCTCTATGCTGCCCACGCTGGCCTAGCACTCAACAAATCCTCTCGCTTCAGCCCCCAGCGAGGCTAGGAGTCACAGGCAGGTGCCACTGCGTTCAGCCTTCTAAACGCCACTCTCTCCAACCTTTTACTTGGTTTGACAGTCACACTCCCCCCCACACACACACTTTTTTTAGTGCTTATTTTAACTCACCGACTACTGACACGATCAAGATAGTCTTTGCCCCGACACAACCTAATTACAGTTTCTTTCCTTCAAGTAGGCACGCATTGAACACAGATCCTTCGAGAACCAGCTGGAAAACACCTCCCTGAAGAACCAGCCACTACCTCCTTCGCGTTCCTTCAGTGTTATTAACTCATCTACCATCTCTTCTCTGTTAGAGTTCCTGCTGCTGAAGTTAAACATGGGAGGCGCCCATCCAATCTCGACGAGTAGCACGGAACCCACGACCACCACAAAAGGAGGCCTAGAAACGGCAGAGCTGCAGGCTCTTCCGGCAGCTCCCGTCCCACCCCGCGGCCGCGTTGCATGCCGGGACCTCCAGGGCTCCCGGCCCCGCCGGCCTGATGTCAGGGGTACCCTGCAGGACGCTCCGACGCCCCTGAAACGACGCCGTTCCTCCATTCCCACCCTTCCTTCCCGCTCCTCCTCAGACAGCATACAGGCCCTACCGAAGCGATCCCGGGGGTGGTGGAATCTGCCACACACCGGCTTCCCGCCACGTCCTTCAAACCACACGGAATTAACAGAAGGAGGCGGCGGCACAGGCTCCACTCAAGCGATTGAATCGCGCCTCGGCAAACGAACGCAAAGGCGGGACGGATCGCCCTCCTGATTGGCTGGCCGTGGGGACGAAAGGGGGGCCCTCGGATTGGTAGAGGGACGGGGACGAGGAGGGAAAGCTAGCTGTGGCCGGCGGGGATTGGCGGAAGGAACTGGTACTTTCTCTCTTCGTTGGTAGGTGGAGAAATGAGGATGGGCCGACGCGGAGACGCAACTCGTGATTGGTGGGTGCGTGGCCCCCGGGGCGCAAGCGATTGGTGGCTGACCGAGTGCGCGGCGCTGATTGGACAGCGGTGGCAAGGCTGAAGGCCGGCTTTGAGTCTGCCCCGCCGCCTGGCATCCTGGCGGAAGGGGAAGGGGGGCAGGCGCGGTGGGGAAGATGGCGTACCAGAGCCTCCGGCTGGAGTACCTGCAGATCCCACCGGTCAGCCGCGCCTACACTACCGCCTGCGTCCTCACCACCGCGGCCGTGGTGAGCAGCTCTGGCGCTCCGTCCTCCGTTTCCAGGCTAGCTGTGACTGGGTTTTCAGAAAACGGGTTTGGGCCGCAGAGAAGCCCAGAGGGTTTGGTCCCAGGGGTGGGTGGAGACATCCGGAGCTCACTCTAGGGTTCGGGATAGTCCCAACGGTGCCAAGCCCGTGACCTGAAAAGGAAGTGCTCCTCCATGAGGAGACAGGTCGGTTTCCGAGAGATGAAATCCAGACCTGTAGCGAGTCAGAGCTGTGGGAGCCGCCCACCCAGAAATGTGCCCCAGCTTTAGCTATGGCCAGGTGATTAGTGGGAGCAAGGCCCGCTAGGTTCACAGACTTAATATATATTAAGAATAAAAATCTCGAATTGTCTGGAACATCTTTCAGAAGACGACCGTTGGATTTAAGAACTGGCCACCTGTACCCTAGCCCTAATGCTAGTGGGCCCTCGGATCTCTTATTCGGAGTTGTCTCACCCAGATGTTTCAGGTGGTGACCACGCGACATATAGATTCGTAAAAGATGCTGTGGTTTGTCTCTAAAATATACCCACCTGCCTGCCTTATAGCATCCTCAAATATTGCAACATAAAACTTGCGTTGTGTGTTGAGGATACAAAAACGGTTGTGCGAATTCTAAAGAATCCCTTACCAGCGGTCACAAGCAAGATAGATATTTACTCCAAGTGACCACTTTTTATTTCTAATTATTAGAATTACTGATCCTTTGTTGTTAATGCTGAAATTTTGTTTTATGGTCGATCTGATTTAAGAAGCTCTTTTTCCATTTCAGCAGTTGGAATTGATCACACCTTTTCAGTTGTACTTCAATCCTGAACTAATTTTTAAACATTTTCAAGTAAGTGGTCTATGGCTACTGTGACTAACGATTCTACTATCGTTTTTTTTTTTTCCTTTATTGTTTAGTAAGTAATAAATCCTGTCAAATACAGTCTCAAAAAATAATCCAGTAGGGGAAGCTCTGATTATAATTAAGTCTTATTGAGATGGAAGGAAGGAATTCTGCAGCCTGGTTGGGCTCCAGAATCATTTAAGAGCTGCTAGGTATTTGTGAGCAATGCATCATATACCAAATTAGAAATGCCAAGGGTGGAACTAGGTGCAAGCAGATTAGCAGGAGGTTGGCAAGTTCTGAGTTAGTTTGGGCTACCTAGGGAGACCCTGTCTTAAGAAAATTGCTAAGGGTGGGAATTTGGAATTCATCTTCTATTTTAGTTTCTGTCTTTGACTACAACTAGTTTAAGAATTACTGTGACCAGAATCCCAGCAGTCAGGAAGCGAGGCCAGTTTGAACTCCACATCAAGGAATTGTCTCAAAACATAAGCAATAGTAACAACAATCAGTGATAATAGTGATGATGTGATTTGAGAATAAAACTGACCAAACTAGCTGCCCAGGGAATCTCACAAGATAGTCTTTTGTCTGTTCCCTCTTGTTACTCCTCTTGGTGCAGCAGTTCTGGTAGAGTTCTAACACTAATCTGTCTTCCTGAAGTCAGATCATACTAACACAAGTCTGAAAGACTATTCTCTAAAGCAGTATGTTGGCTTATTAGAGTACAATTTGAAGAAGTCTTTTTCCCATGATTAAAGAGGAATGTGTTATCATGCCAGGATGGTCATTCACACGTTAGGTGAAGGCTAGATCTCCCTGGCTGTAGTTCCCCTTTGTTCATGCTGTTTCCCGTCCCAAATGGATTCCACTCCCTTTGTACCTGTTGAACTTTAGCTTGCCTTTCAAGATGCAGCTTTTGTATGCCTTTAGATATATTACCTTTTGTGTGCCTTTAGATACATTACCTTTTGTGTGCCTTTAGATACATTACCTTTTGTGTGCCTTTAGATACATTACCTTTTGTGTACCTTTAGATACATTACCTTTTGTGTGCCTTTAGATACATTACCTTTTGTGTGCCTTTAGATTACCTTTTGTGCTAGAGCATCTCTTGCCCTTGGGGTTTTTGTTTGTTTGGTTGGTTTGGTATGGGGTTTCTCTGTGTAGTCCTGGCTGTCCTGGAACTTACTCTCTATACCAGGTTGGCCTTGAACTCACAGAGATCTGCCTTCTCTGCTGATTAAAGGCTGTGATTAAAAGCGTGAGGCACCACCACCCTGCCAAGGTTCAGTTGCATTAAGTTCGGAATTAGGAGGTTCTAGTTTCGCCGGCAAGAGTCTCCACTAGCTGCATGCCCTTCGACAAGCCATAAGTCTTAAGCTTCCTTATCTGTGACGAGAGGACGATCACATTAGCTTGTCTATCTCACAAGATTACTGAAGTCACATATGATAGTAATTCTGTAAAGTTTGTGAGTAGTTGTCAGTTGACTAGGTGAGACTCCTCTTCTATCTCTTCTTGACTCTTGGAGCATTAACTCTTGTAGGAAGTTGACTTCAAACCAGAACCTGACTGACTGTCTTAGAATTTTTCCATCAGGATGTTGTGGTTAGTATAGACTTTTTCTCAGCAGCTTTCCATACTGGATCCCTGAAGTTTTTTATTTAGACAGCTTCCATAATTTGCTTAGCCACATAGTTTGGGCTTTCTGTGTTGTTTTATAAAAGGTCATTATGATTTTAAATTTCTAATCTTATCATCCATATAAATTTCTTTTTTAAAAAAATATTTATTTATTTATTATGTATACAATATTCTTTCTGTGTATATGTCTGCAGGCCAGAAGAGGGCACTAGACCTCATTACAGATGGTTGTGAGCCACCATGTGGTTGCTGGGAATTGAACTCAGGACCTTTGGAAGAGCAGGCAATGCTCTTAACCTCTGAGCCGTCTCTCCAGCCCTCATCCATATAAATTTCACAGTCCAGTTAATATCTTCTAGTCTTTAAAGAAGAAGCATCACACACAAAACAAATCCAGAATCATATTGGGTGTCGTATTTGGATGGGCCCCACCTAGGACTTTGGAGCCTCAGAGTTGTAGAATGTCGTTTTTAATCTAACTATAGAAATGTTTCCTGGTTATGTATTTTACTTAATGTGTCTTTCTCTTGCCCCACCCCCTTGCAGATATGGAGGCTAATCACCAATTTCTTGTTTTTTGGTCCAGTTGGATTCAATTTTTTGTTTAACATGATTTTTCTGTATCCTTTTAAGTGGAATCAACATCGAAACTTCAGGTTCGCTTAGTACATATTGTAAGATGAAATTGTTGCTCTTGTTTATTTTTTATGACATTTTAGTTATGGCTTCTGGGTCTGGAGTTTGTAACTAGATCATAGTGTTTTGAAACTCTTTGTAACTCCTTGTTTACACAGGAGGTTCCAACTGTTAAAGATTAGTGTCCTTAGGCTATGACTTACCATGTTATATTTGTAAAATAATGTCAGCAGCAGCTGGCACAGTAGTAACTTCACAGCCTGAAGCATTGGTAACTCAACAGAATTTTCCCCAGGGTTTTTACAATGTGTTTCTGAAAGTGGGGACCATGATTGCAAGGCTTAAAAAAAAAGTGAGTGCCAAAATGTCTGCTGGGCTTGACATATTTAGGCTCGTGGAAAGAAAGGAAGAGCCATAGTAGTCAAAGGTGGTGATTGGGTGTGCTGCTCGGCATTCCTCTGCACCCAGCACTCCAGCTCATCCGCGGGAGACTGAGGGCCTTTACCAGTGATGGGACTTACATCCTAGAATGGTTTTTGGTGTGTTTCCTGCATAGGAAGCTTATCATTCTGATAAGTTTCTAATAAAAGGTTTTTCATTATAGTTTTTATGGACTAGAATATAGAAATGCTTAGCCTGGCTGGCCTGGAGAAGTAGTTACCACACAAGGCTTCTTGGCAGGGGTTTCTTCAATATTGGCAAACCAAGGAAGGGACAAAGTCACATGTAGTTGAAGTAGGGAAAGATGATACTAGAAATTGGAAGGGGTAGAATGTGATTGAAAGCATGCTCCTGCAGCATTTGAATCAGCTCCCCAGCCAGGGACAGCTTTTGTAAAATATGGTGCTAGTTTTCTTGTTGCTGAAAATGCTTGATGGGAAAAAATGAAACCAGATTGCTACGTGAACATTCTTAGAGAAAAATGCAGCTTGGCTGTGTCGTATGAAGCCTAAGTATGTTTCAGTGGTTTATTACATTTTAACTTCTTATGTGTGTGCTTAATATTTTCTTAACTTGAACTTAAGATATCGTTACTGTCGAATGCTAGAAGAAGGCTCTTTCCGAGGTCGGACAGCAGACTTTGTATTTATGTTCCTTTTTGGTGGATTTTTAATGACTGTATCCTTCAACAAATAGAATACAGGAAAATCTTAAAGAACAGACTGTCTATTCCTCAATCTTCTCATCTGTCTCCCATGATTCACTTGCTACTCTGAACAAGCAGATAAAAAAAAAACCAGGGTGCTACCATTTATTTCACAGCCCTCTTTGACAGCTTCCAAGCCTAGAGGTTGGACAGGAGGCTCCGCTGAGCAAGAACTTTTAACCCAGGTGGGTTATCTTGAAGGATCTCAGTTACATCACTGTCGGTGGGTGACTTCACTTTTACTAAGTTGGTAAGACATGTTGTATTAAAGTCACTGTCAAAACTGATGCAATATTTTTAAAAAGAAAGGAGTTGTATTGTGTGTGACAGACTTAGTGCTGCTCCAGCCTCCGTGCTCTACACCTGTGAAGGTGTCAGTGGGGATGATCTTCATTGTGCTTACTGACAAAGGGATTCATGTTTTCAAAAAGGCAAGAGCGTCACAAAAGCAGTTTAGTCTGTAGTAGCTGTGATTTGGATGATTTAGCCCAAACCAGTTTTTGCCTGGCCACCTTGGGTAATTAATTTCAGGCATTTCCTCTTATAGTTTAGAAATCACCAGTATTTAGCTTTTCTAATTCAGATTTTAGTGCAAGGGTGATCTTTAGTTCTCTTCCTTAACCTTCCCTAGCATGCTTTCATGTTGATATTTTCCTTAATTTCATTTGCTAGCTTTTTGGTTTGTTTGTGAGCTTAGTTTTTTTAGGCCAGGCCTTCACAATAATGCTGGTCTACGTGTGGAGCCGAAGGAACCCATACGTCCGCATGAACTTCTTTGGGCTTCTAAACTTCCAGGCCCCTTTTCTGCCATGGGTGCTCATGGGGTTTTCCTTGTTGTTGGGGAACTCAATTATTGTGGACCTTTTGGGTAAGCATCTTCTCACTACTTTTTGTACTATTATACCTGAAAATGTATTTTGTCACTGTCTTTCATGTTTATTCTGTTTAGTCTTCATATATAGCTATTGTAAGATTGTTTAATCTGAAAGATAATATTAGTTCATTGATCTTCAATAATTACATTTATCCTAAGTAAGGCTTATGTTGGTAAGGAACTTAAAATTGAAATTTTGATCTTCCTTTTTGTCCTTTATTTCTGGTTGATTATAGGTATTGCAGTTGGGCACATATATTTTTTCTTGGAAGATATATTTCCCAATCAGCCTGGTGGAATAAGAATTCTGAAAACACCATCTATTTTGTGAGTATTTAACACCATGTTTCATGTTCCATGCAGATAGATCGTGATCGTGGTTCATTTGGGGCTCCCTTAGTTCCTGATCCAGGTGGTTCATATCAGTGTTTGCAGATTGAGCAACACGGCCACAACGGGGGACCTTTGGATTGACCGGAAGCAGAGTAGGCCAGGGTTGTGACTACTGGGCTCTTGACATTGTGGTGGTGACTTTGTAATTACGCTCTTCTATGACCACGAAAACTTCTGTCCCAGAGAGGAGCCTGCTGGTTTTATTTTATTCTATTTTACTTTATTATTATATTTTTTGTTGGGGTTTTGTTTGTTTGTTTGATTTTTGGTTTTTCAAGACAGGTTTTCTCTGTGTAACAGCCCTGGCTGTCCTGGAACTAGGTAGCTATGTAGCGCTTCCTGTCTCTGCTTCTTGAGTGCTGGGATTAAAGGTGTGTGCCACCATTGCCCAGCTTGCCTGCTGGTTTTATGAAAGCTACTGTCCAAGTTGAGAGAATGAACAGTGAAGTGAGCCACACTGTTCAGAGGACATGTCTGATGGCATTCTGACGGGCAAAACAGGTAGTGGAGGTACACAGGGAAATCAAATAGAAACAGCTTTGACCTAAGGCCAGACTAGCTGTCTTACCACAAACACTGGGATTTGTTTTTATTCTGAAGTCTCTTGAGCTAGAGTTTGATTTATAAGACCTGTTTCTGCTCTAGAATTTTCTGTCCTTGACAACAATTACATTAAAAGGGGGCACTCACTGGTTAGTGGTGGGCTACACAAAGAAACCCTGTCTCAGAAAACAAACAAACAAGGATCTTGATTCAACAAAAAGGTTTGATAAAAACTCTCTGTTATAGAATAGTTAAACAAAAAAGAATGAAGATGTCTCAGTGATTAACAGCACTGGCTGCTCTTTTGAATGACCCAGATTGAATTCCCAGCACCCACACAGCTGCTAACAGCTGTTTATAACTCCACTTCAATGGGATCCAGCGCCATCTTCTGGCCTCTGCAGGTACTGCAAGCACATGATAGATGTACATGCAGGCAAAATAGCCACAGACATAAAATGAAAATAAGGGACTGGAGAGATGGCTCAGGAGTTAAAAGTTGCTTTTCCAAAGGTCCTGAGTTCAATTCCCAGCACCTCCATGGTAGCTCAGAACCATCTATAACTATGGTCCCATGGATCTGGTGCCCTCCTTAGGTATGCATATGTACATGCCTGCAAAATTCCCACATATATAAAATACATAAGAAAATAAACCTTTTTAAAATAGAAGGAAAGTAAATATATCTTTAAGACAGAGAAGAAGAGTGAACTAGCAAGGTATGCTAGTATATGCCTGTCATCCCATCCACTCTGAAGGCTGAGGCACAAAAATTTGAAGTTTGATGTCAGCTTGGCTATTATAGCAAGTATCCATCTCAAGAGGAAGTTTTTAATTAACAACAACAACAAAAGAAAAAAACAGAAAAAAATGAGTGTCTTAATTAGGGTTTCTATTGCTGTGAAGAGACACCAGGACCACAGCAACTCTTTTTTTTCCTTTTCTTTTTTTTGTTTGTTTGTTTTTTGAGACAGGGTTTCTCTGTGTAGCAGCCCTAGTTGTCCTGGAACTCACTCTGTAGATCAGGCTTGACCTCAAACTCACGGAGATCCTCCTGTCTCTGCCTCTGCCTCACAAGTGCTAAGATTAAAGGCCTGTGCCACCACCACCTGGCTCGCAGCAACTCTGATAAAGGAAAACATTTCATTGGGGCTGGCTTAAAGTTTTAGAGGTTTACTCCATTATCAATGTGGTGGGACATGGTCTAGTTGCCTATTTAGTCCATGTAGTATTATTTGTATGTAGATATATTTAGGCTAAACACTTGGGATTGGGTAACTGTATATGCTTATTTTGAAATAGCTATATATTTTTAATTTCTTTTAAAGATTTATTTTATAAATGTGTTTACGGGCTGTGAGCTTGCATTTTATGTGCACTGTGTGCACGAGTATATGAGTGTTTTCAAGTGCCGGGGACAATGTGACCCCTGGATCTGGAGTTACAGGTGATTATAAACTCCTGGGTATGGGTGCTGGGACCCAAACCTGTGTCCTCTACAAAAGCAGTAAGTGCTCTTAACTACTGAGCCATCGCTACAGCTCCTATCTGTAGACTTTCTTAAAATGTCTTTTTGTTTTGTTTTGTTTTTGTTTGGTTAGGTTTCTTGAGACAGATGGTTTCTCTGTGTTGCCCTGGCTGTCCTGCAACTCACTTTGTAGACATTGACCTCATGGAGATCTGCCTACCTCTGCTGAGAGTAAAGGCATGTCATGACCCCTCCACACCCACCTCCACCCCAGCTAAAATGTCATTTTTAAACCTAATATGTAATAATTACGTTTCCTAGCTGGGTGTAGTGGCACACGCCTTTAATCCCTGAGCACTTAGGAGGAAGAGGCAGGAGGCTCTCCAGGAGTTCAAGGCCAGCCAGGTCTGCAGAGCCAGTTCCAGGACATCCAGGGCTATACAAAGAGAAGCCCTGCCTGCAGTGGGGAATTAGGGAGGGGAGGTGATTATGATTACATTCCCATTATAAGTGCCCTACAGAATTTAGTGACTACATGATATTCTGTGATTCATATTTAACATAATTATGTTACTCCCTTATTAATGGACATTGACATTCGTTATTGCTTTTCCTTCTGTAGATGGAGTAATGAATGTCCTTGTAACTAAATCGATACACCCCAACATGAAGTTCACCATGTTAACCATTTTTAAATGAGCAGTACAGTGGTTTGCATGCATTTGTGTTGTACTGCTATGGCCACTATCCTTAGGAGGCTTTTATGTTATAATCCTAAAACTCTGCCCATTGATTAATTCCCTTTTCTGTCACCCAGTAACCACCTTTCTTTTTGTGCCTGTGGATTTGACTCTTCCAGGTACCTCATCGGCATTTATTGCTTCTGTAGTAAGTTAGTAAAGGAGGTAAGTTAATATAAATGTTAGATAATTGTGGAGCCTCTTTAGTTGGCAGGCAGAGATGACACTTACCTGTTTGTGGATGCCCTCGGGGATGAACTGCTTTCTAGTACTTCCGGTCTAAGATGGCTCTGGCACTGAATGGTCTCTGTGTGTTTTAGGAGGACTATTTTTGATACACCAGATGAGGATCCCAATTACAACCCACTACCTGAAGAGCGGCCAGGAGGCTTCGCCTGGGGTGAGGGCCAGCGCCTTGGAGGGTAAAGCAGCTGTGCCAATTATGAGACCCATCTGAGAAGGACTCAGTGAAATGCCCATTGGGATTCTTTTATCCCTTGTTGCAAAAGTGTGGACACTTTTGACAGATTTTTAACTCCGGAAGCACTTTACGGAATGGTACACTGACTAATGCAGAAGACATTTCCAGCAGTTGCCAGGGTTCCTCACTATGCTGGTACTAAAAGTATAATCTCTTGGAGCCAAAAAACTGGAGAAACAGATACCCTGCCGCCTCTGACAAGTACATGGGTACTTGAGCTCTGTGGCATGAGCTCCTCCTCCTCTTCTTTGATAGACAAGGCCGTGGTGTAAATGGAAATTTCAGAGAGGACAAAATAAAACTGAATTCCATCTCTCTCACACTGTATCTAAGCTTTCGTGTGATCTTTTAAATCATGGTAATGTGTTCTAGGTTTCCTGCGTAGGTCTGAACACAGCAGTTTCTCATGTCTCCACGGCTTTGGACTGGATTTCAAGATTGGAAATAAACAGCTGTTATGTACATCTGACTAGTTCAGAGTCGTAGCTTCAGTAGGGGAAAGATTGGTTTCTGCCATTAAGATAGTTCTCCGTCTGAAAACCACAAAGCTTCAAGTTAGACCACAGGAAGAGAGAGAAAGGGGGGTGATTTCTTGTACCAGAGGAATCTGTAGGAAATTCAGCTGTAAGCACAAAGCAACTGTGACATCTCTTGTAGCTGGAATTTCTCCACTAAGAAACACCCAGATTAGGCCACCCTTTGTCAAAGTACAGGAATATGAATGGGTTGCCATTGGGAATGTGTTCCTCTTGTCATTTCTTTCAAGAAAAGCTCAAAACCTTTCCAGAGCAGAGCCAAGTGCCTGGGTCACCTTCCCGGTCAGGCAGAAATGAGGGTATTTGGAAACAGCCACACTGATGACTCAGTGAATGCTTGTCAAAGATAGTACATCTTGTTTTACATTCATGCTGCTTTACCAGAACCCAGAAAGATGATCTCAGTCTTCATAAACCTTAGATAGGCACAGGGCTCCACAGACTGGATCGTCCTATTTTGACTGAGTTGCTTTCTAGAATGAAACCTTTCTCAGAGGTTGACATAGGCTTAAATAAAACATAGTAGACATTCAAGGTGAAGTTTTGGGATGTCTTGAAAGTAGAAAGTATTTTAACGACTAAGTGGGATATACATAAGAAATGGAATAAGTACATCTTAAATGTTGCTAGTAAATACCTGAAAAGGATTTCATGAAACATATGTTAACAGGACTGCTTTTCTCTTGTTTAAAAGTCTTTTAAGTTTAATGACAGTCTTAGATTGTGTGATCCTCATGGGATTCTTAAGTTTAATCATTGTGTCTGTTCAAGAAAGCTTTATTGGTAACTTAGAAATTTATTTTTATTATTATTGCTTGCTTTTGAGCCAGAAATGAGTTTCTTTAGGTTTTATTTATTGTCCCTGAATTAATTTTGGATTTAGCTAATTAGTGGAATTTTTGTGGTAAAGTTTTAATTCTAAAATTTCTTCCCCTGCTTTTGATTTTAAGTGGAGATACCTGTACATATTAATGGCTGGGTAAAGCAGGAAATGCATTTTGGATGCATAGCCTAACGCAGTATCTGGTTGTTTTTTGTTTTGGTTTGGTTTTTTGGTTTTTCGAGACAGGGTTTCTCTGTGTAACAGCCCTGGCTGTCATTGGAACTCGCTCTGTAAGCCAAACTGGCCTCAAACTCTCAGTCTCTGGTTTTTAGGATGTCAATTCCTATTGGCAAAATGCCATGCTGTGCTCCACACTGTGCCCTGGGAATGCCAGTTTCAGTCATTTGGCCTCTTAGTTTGGCCAGTCCCACATTGTGTCTCTGGTCCTGTGTAATCTGATAGGATCGCTGAGCTTACCTGGGCACGAGGAAAAGTCCTCATTTTCCCAGCAAACCTCTTGATTCTGGTTCTTCCAAAACACACTTCCTTTTTGTAATGTGAGTCAACAGAAAAGAGAGATTGGCTTATGGGATTCTGTGACCACTTAAGCATATATGAATATAGTTTGAGATGTCTCCTGGATTGTAACTGAAAAGCACACCTAAAGCTTAGGGAGTTTTGTTCCGTTGTTATAGAAATACAATATATGTTCATTTTAAAATGAATGGACATGCCAGTTGCATCTCCCTGAATGGACATGCCAATTGCATCTCCCTAGGAGATACATTTTATATACTTTAGTGTGTTTTTTTCACTATGAATTTTTACTTGTTTCTTCCACTTCTTTTTCTGTCATTCTTCTATGTCTTCCTGTCTTTTATATTTCTTTTGTACTTGTGTGAAGCAAAATGCCCACATCCTGGATCTTGAAATGGAACCATAGCGCTGTCTCTGGGGTCCTCTGGGAATTAGGAAACACTGGAGCTATTGGCATGTTGTGTAACATGCTTCCTAGAATTGTCATGCCTTCTGCCACTGTTTTAGTTTGTGGCTGCGTTTTCCTTTGCCAGGTGACTTCTAGTTGTGTTAGCCAGTATCCTGCCCTTTGTTCCTCTTCAGGATGACTAAGCTACTTACTGTTTTGAGTTTTCATCAAAGCTCTTGAACCTTGCTTTTATGGTTAAGCGGCTCTGCTCAGAAGTCTGCACTCAATTCTTGGCCCTTATCAAATGCATATCTGTCTTCCTCTGAAGCTTGCTCCCACTTCTACCTAGCAGGGACCTCAATTTAAGTTCTTCAGTCATTGAAGACCCTAACACTCAAATCTTAGTACAAAAGTCTATTTCATTGTCTTCTTTAAATCCCTATGAAGCTTCAAATCTGTACTAAAATTCTTATACCAAACCATACATTGTCTTGTACTGTTCTTAGCTGCTACATGTTAGTTTTGTTTCCCTCATGAGAATGTAAGCTCCTTAAGGGCAGGGACTATGTCTTAATTTTTGTATCCACCACAGTGCCTAGCACTGTGCTTGGCACATGGGTGCTGAATAAATACTTTGTTCATTTATCAGTAAAAATTATCTTGTATTTTTAATTATGAAAGGATTAATGTGTATGTATGCAAACTTGTACCTAGTTGCTAAAATTTAAGATTGCTTTGAAAGCAGTATGGAGCAAAGATAAACATGATCAAGGCAATGGTTTGGTGGCCATGCAAGCCAAAGTGACCATGAGCCGGCATAGTCACAGTCAGAACAGGGAGTCAGGTGTACAGACTTCACCACCTCAGATAAGAACGGAATGTGTCTGAAGGATCGTCTTCCAGAGGAAGGGTCAGGATATGCTTTTGAATACTTAGTGTGTTAGCTTCTTTATATAAAAGCCACTGAACCACAGGAGACTTGTTTGGAGGAACAGCATATTTCAGACTGTCACTGAAGGACATGTGGACAACATGGTTTATGTAATAAATGTTTAAAGTTTTCAACTCTGATTATTTTATCATTGAGGCTACTGAGTAAGTGGGTTACTAGGAACGAGTTCCTTATAGAAATGTTACATTTTGCCTTCATTAAAAAAAAACTGAGCCAATATTTTAAAAACATAACAAATTTTTGTTTTGCTTTTCTTAAAAAAGAATGGCTTGCGTGATAACTGTTGCCTGTGATTAGTGGGTGCTTCTAGAGAAGGGGAGCATGTGTGTGTGTGTGTTGTGGCTGGTGGGATGACTCCAGAGGTAATGGCACTTAGTAAGTACCAAGCCTGACCTGAGTCCAATTCCCAGGCCCCACATGGTAGAAGGAGAGAAGCAATTTAACATAAGTTCTCTGCACTCTCTTCACACACGATAAATGTATGAAGTTTTTTCTTTCTTTTTTATTTTTTCAGGGAGAGGTGTCTTACCTACTAAGGGTTTCACACTCGTTTATATAACCTATTTGGATTCTTTTTGGTTTTTCGAGACAGGGTTTCTCTGTAGCATTGGAACCTATCCTGGAACTAACTCTTGTAGACCAGGCTGGCCTCGAACTCACAGAGATCTGCCTGCCTCTGCTTCCCAAGTGCTGGGATTAAAGGCTTGTGCCACCACCACCACCCGACCACGTCAGTATATTCTTAACATGAATCCTAAACACACTCAACATGGACATTTTTATTAGCCCCTAGTTATATTGTTGGAAGCTTGATAAAAATATCTAGTTTTTGTTTGATTTGGTTTTTAGCTAATCAGATACGTTTATGAAAGCCACATTGTAAATGGTATTTACATAAGTATACAGCGATGTTTCATGTTCCCATCTAACACAGCTGCATTTCGAGTGGACATGGATCAGTTAATGATGGCTGTGGTCATGTGCAGAACTGGATTTGAAGGCTTTACTGATTTTGAAAGCACTCCTGATTTTAAAAAGGATGGTCATTAACCTGATTCCTACCCAAATTTCCTGGTAAACTTGGGTATAGTAGGGTTTTACGGGGATCTAGAATTCTTATTAAGGCTTTGAAGCATCTCAGAGGACCAAGGCCACAGGCCACATCAGATTCCACAACAGACTGGAAAAAGTCCATGTCTGGGGATTTTAAAAAGTAGGTCCACGTACTAAATTTGGTGGATATCCTTCACATGCATTGAGAGTTATAGTTTATTCACTGGCAGTCACATTTCCTGTAAGAAAAAGCAAATCGGTCTGAAGAACAGGCTCAGCGGTTAAGAGGACTGACTGCTCTTCCAGGGAACTGGGTTCCAAGCACTCAGAAGGAGGCTCACAACTGCCTTTAACTCTTATTCCAAGGGATCATTACCCTCTTTCTGGCTTTATGAATATTGCATGCAAATAGCTAAAAACACACACACAAGTAAAACGCCCACATCCCCCCCCCCTCAAAAAAATGTTAAGGCAACCATTCATTGCTTGCCAGTCTTTCTGTGTTGAATTGGCAAAGTATCTAAGATCTTGCATTTGGAAAGGCAAGGAAGAACTGGCTATATGCAAGTTTTCTGTGGGAGTACTGAATTATCCCATTGATTAAGGTGTGCACAATAGGACCAGAAAGCTGTGTAAAGAATTTGAGAATCTGATAGAAATTACTGGGAGATGAGTTAAAGACAATTTCTTTTTTACCTCTTGTATTATTTGAACATATTATTTTGTGAGGGAAATACATGCTGTCAGAATCATAGATCACCTTTCTGTAACTTAAGATATTCACTAGTAACATTTTCAAGATTCTTTGAAGCATCTGAATGACTTTAATCTCAGAAAATTCATTATCTACATTTGTCAATCGGAGATGTCAGTGAGTATCTTAAAATGTGCATTGTTTAGAACGTTAAATGTTTGCGTTCCTCGTTGATTTTACAGAATTAAGTAACATCCTTAAAACGTGACTATTGTTGGAGATCGGAAAGAAACGGTTTTGTGATGACGAGAGTCCCAAAGGACAACGTCATTAGCCAATAAAGGCCTCTGGAACCACATAGCTATCGTTCCCTGTTGTTGCTCGGACAGTTTTTTAGGTCGCACCTCAGGTTCGCACCTCAGGCCTTGCTCTCACAGGATGTAAATGGTACCCAAACCCACAATGCATTTCGGGAATTAGAGTTCCTTTCCTAAAGTCTGGCAGCGGCGGTGAGATCATCGGTGGTCGCCCAGAGACGCCTGCACGTGGAGAGAAAGGGGCGGTGCGCGTTTGCGGTCCACGGCGTAGCGGAGCCGACTGCGCCGGGGCCTCCTGCTGCGGTCCTCCCGACATGCCGGAGGAGGCGGGCCTCCCGCCGGCCAAGAGATTCCGGCCGGGCTCCTGCCCTCCCGGGAGGCGGGTGGTGATGCTGTTGGCGCCTGGCGGTGGCGGAGCAGGAGGAGGCCGGAGGCAGACACCGCCGCTGGCCCAGCCCTCGGCCAATCCCTACCGCGAGGCCCTGGAGCTGCAGCGCCGGAGCCTGCCCATCTTCCGGGCGCGGGGGCAGCTGTTGGCTCAGCTCCGAAACCTGGACAGTGCGGTCCTCATCGGTGAGTGGCCGCTTTGGCGGGAGCTTCCTGGCTTTGCGAGGCCAATTTTTCTTTTCGGTGTTTCTCACTCCCTTGGTGTTGGCTTCTTCAACAAACTTGAAAGGTTTTCTGTGTCCGGCATGGACGGGGACCTCGGGAAAGAGGCGGATGAGTTAGCCTGCTGGCGCTGACTGCCCGGTGCGAGTGACCGGCGTGTGTGGCGGTAAAGACACACTTTCCATCACGGGGTGTGGGTGCATCTCTCTGAGGGCTTTGAAGGGCGGACCTTCCCCAGGCTTTGAGGAGGCAGCTACTGCGGAGCGAATCCCTGGGGACGCTGGAGAGACTGGCGGTCAGAAACAGTTCAGTTCACGGGCACCAGTTTCTTGTGTACGAGAAGAACTTGGGAGAGTTGGAGGGCAGGGACTGATTTCAGGGGGCTTTGATACACAGTGGTTAAAAAAGAGGAGCTCCTGAAGGAGCGAGGAAAAGATCTGCGAGTGCCGGCTGTCTCTGACCTGGAGTTCTGAGGATGGAGTGGAGAGCTCTAAATCCGGCTTTCAGAAGCTCGGGCCCTGAAGGGGAGGCGTGGAGCTGGCTTTTTTTTTTTAAAGAAATTTTTTAAAACTGTTTTGTGTTTTGTTTTTCCGAGACAGGGTTTCTCTGTAACTTTGGAGCCTGTCCTGGAACTCACTCAGTAGACTAGGCTGCCCTCGGACTCAGAAATCCACCTGCGTCTGCCTCTCCAGTGCTTCCCCACCCCCTTCTAATCAGGGGGAGTAAAATTTAATTCTCTGAGTCTAGCGAGTGAGGCAAAACTTAATTATGTGGGGCCAGTGAAAAGGGGAAACACGCACACAAAGACACTCTTTCAGGATCTCTCTATCTTCCTTATTTTTCCTTTACAGTTTATATATCCTTACAGAATATTTCAAACAGTATAGAAATTACAGTGTAGTTCCATTCTATTTTTCGAATGAGTAATTATAATGAATGCAAGTAAAAAAAATCATGTTTCTCATTTCCCTTACATGATTAAACAATTTACGTATTACAGGTGAGAAATAAATCATTCCCAAAGACCCACGTATATTCATGTCTAAGCACCTTGTTATAGATTAATAAAGTGTAAGCAAGCAAGGTACTTTCTTAGCCAGTTTTTTCACTTCTAACTTCATTTTGTGGTTACAACGAAAGGATCGATCATTTTATTAATTATCTCAAAAGTTAATCTTAAGAATCACAAATCTAAACTTTTATATATGAAAAATAATCAGTCAGCTTCACTTTAACCCTCAGGGTGCAGACCCATTCATCACAGATTTTTTTTATTAAATCATTTCAGGAAGCTGAGGGCAGAAATGGGTACCAGGAAATAACCATCACCCTTGATCACCAACCATTCTAGCTAGAAAGGCACATCAGCCAGCAGTAGCCAGGCTGCCATTGTTCTTGTTCTGTTCCTACTGAGGATGTTTTCAAGAGAACTTGAACAGACCTGACAATGGACCGAGAAGTGATTAGGAGGTACAAGAATGAAGGCGGTGGAAACCGGTTTCTGCTTTGGCCAAACGAGGGAAGCGAGGAACTTTTAAATATTTACAGATCTCAGTGAACGGAGCAGAGAGACACTGAAGAGAGAATGGAGCTAAGGGAGCAAAGGTCGGGAAGTGTAAGGGAAGGGGGGCCCACCTGGCACAGGAGAAAGGCCACCTCAGAGGAGGCAAAGTGATGCAAAAGCCCTTGTAGCAGGGAGTAGAGAGAAATCACATTTGAGGGCTTTCTATTGACTCAGATGCAGGAGTCCCTATGAGAACAAAAGTAGGCCCTCTGGGAGATGGAGACAGAAGACAGGCTGCAAAAACAGGAACAGGATGCACAGTAGAGCTGGTGCCCAGGTGCATTTTGGTCCTGCATCTGCATGGTTGGCATATTCTGTTTTCACAATTGTCAGTTACCTTAGACTAGGAGTTGCAAAGGGCACAAGAGACATTGATCCAAGTCTGAGGTCGTGTGGAGGATTCATTGGGAAACTGCAGGATAATCAAATTCTTAGTCCGAGAGTCTTGGCTAAGTCAAGAAAAGTGAACAATCAGAAGCAGTTGGGAACTGGGAGAAAATGCAAGACATGGGACTGGAGAACTTCATTAAAGAGGATAAGCCGTAGCAAAGAAGGGTGTGCAGGTTTCCTAAGCTCTTCTAATCAGGTGCTGTTCGAGGTACCAACAGACGGTAGGAAACAACCCTCATTGGGGGCTTGCACTCTGCAGGGTACTCAAACCTATGAAGAGATTGTTATCAGGTATTAGAAGAGGGCAGAAACATTCAAGTACTTCTGTACTGTTTGGAATGATCTGTGCTAGAAGAGAGATTCAGAGATGAGGGCCACTGGTACAGCCTTAAGGGTAAGAATTTACTGTCTGACTCATCCTGCAACTTGCCAATTAGTATGAAGCAGGTAGGTATTGTACCCATAATAGTGTAGGCAAAAGCAAAGATTTGAAGAAAGCAGCAAGCAGCCGTCAGAGAAGGGTGAGCAATGTATGAATAGACATCTTTTCAGTCAGTATTTATCAAGCTACATGACTGTCATATTTCATTTTATGTTGTAACTATACCAGTTACCTACTGTCTTAGGGTTCCTGTTACTGTGAAGAGACACTGTGACCATGGCAACTCTTATTAAAGGAAAACATTTAATGGAAGCTGACTTAGAGTTCAGAGGTTTAGTCCATTATTGTCATGCTGGGACTTAGTGGTGTGCAGGCAGACATGTGCTGGAGAAGGAGCTGAGAGTTCTACCTCTTGATCCATGGGCAGCAGGAGACTGTATGCCACACTGGGTGTAGTTTGATCATACACTTGAGACCTCAAAGCCTGCCTTCACATGGACACAGTTCCTCCAAAAAGCCACACCTCCTAATAGTGCCATTCCTATGGGCCAGGCATTCCAACTCATGAGTCTATGGAGGCTGTCCCTATTCAAATCAGCACACATACTATTATACATGCTTCCAGTACTATTGCCATCATTGAATAAACATCTTTGTTTACATAGACAAATTTCTGCAAGTGGAGTTGTGTAAACATTCTAAAAGTTTAGGATGGCCTGGTGGTGGTGGCGCACCTTTAATCCCAGCACTGGGAGGCAGAGGTAGGTGGATCTCTGAGTTCAAGGCCAGCCGGTCTACAAGAGCTAGTTCCAGGACAGGCATGCAAAAACTAGAGAGAAACCCTGTCTCAAAAAAAAAAAAAAGTTTAGGATGTTTTTATTATTTGTTTGTTTGACAATCTCTCTATTATGTGGCACTGACTGTGTAGACAAAGCTGGCTTAGAACTCAGAAAGATTTTCCTGCTGTAATTAAGGCATGTGTCACCATGCCCAGCCCAGTGTAGAGGTTTCTGAAATGTAGAGGCCCCCTGGGAAACAGTAGCCGTGGCTGTTCTCCAGCAGTATACCTGGGTGCCCGTTTGCCTAGAACTTACCAACTCATTATTTTCTTGTGTGTTTTTATTTTGTTTTTCCTGACTTGAAGCTTTTTATTTGGTAAGTTTACCTTAGTCTTATTTGAATAAGTTTCTTTTCTCTCCTAGGGGAAACTGGCTCTGGGAAGACAACTCAGATCCCACAGTATCTCTATGAAGGGGGAATCAGCCGCCAGGGCATCATTGCAGTGACCCAGCCCCGTCGAGTAGCTGCCATCTCTCTTGCTACTAGAGTCTCAGATGAGAAGAGGACTGAACTCGGGAAGCTGGTACCTCCTTGCTCTACCTTGCTCTACGTACTAACCTGCACCTACTGTGCTTCTGCCCTTTATTTTTCTGAACAAGCTCTTCAGCACCTTCCACCTCCAGCTCCCATTATTATGTTGATAGGGTCTCCCCTAGCACAGACTGGCCTGGTACTCTGAATCCTCAGTCCTACTGCCTTAGCCTCCTGTATGCTGTGATGACAAGGGTGTGCATCAGCACTCAGTTGAATAGCATGTTTTTTCCTTGCCACTGCTTTTAGGCTAAGCTCAGAGTTTTCCCAATTCTAGAGAGATCGGTGGCTCTTAGTCCAGTTAGCTTTGGTTTCACAGCTATTGGCAAGTTGAGTAAATCAGATGTTTTCTTGTTTAGAGGTGCTGAGATTGAACATCCTAGGCAAGTGCCCCACCACTGAGCTGGACCCTTCACACCTAGTTTACAAGTTTAAGACTTTAAGACATGTTGTTTTTGTTTGTTGGTTTGATTTGAGTTTTTTGAGACAGGGTCTCACTTGTAGCTAGCCTGGAACATAGAATATAGGCGTATAGACCAGGGTGGCCTTGTACTTACTGCAGTCCTCCTGCCTCTGCCTCCAAAGTGCTAGAATTACAAGCATGCAGTATCATGTCTGTCCAGAAACCTCTTTTACATCTATTACATGTATGTATGAATTAGGTATATGTATTTTTATAAAAATGTGAACACTGTACTTAATGTAGGTCTATAGAATCAGTCTTGTAACTATGTAGGAGACAGATTCATATTTGTCTTGCATATGTGTGTTACAAGTAAAAATAGTTTGGACTTTTCATGTCTGTACTTAAGTAGCTTAAAGATTATTAGGGTGTGTGTGTGTGTGTGTGTTGTTTTTTTTTCCTTTTATTACTGTGTGTCAGTATGGAGGTCAGAGGACAATTTGAGAGTCAGTTCTCTCATCTGTGGCTCTAGGGATTGAACTCAGATTGCCAGGCCTGCGGGGCAAGTTCTTTTGCTCATTCCTGTCTCTAGATTTTCATTCTTTGAGATGCTTCATTGCAGCTAACGGTAATTGTCCAGTGTTTCTCTCTCCACGTAGACAGGCTGCTGAGGACAGGGCTGGATAGACAGTTGACCGGTGTCCAATAAATGTTTAATAAATAAAGGAGCCGTGTTTTCTCTCAGGTTGGCTATACTGTGCGCTTTGAGGATGTCACCTCAGAAGACACCAGGATCAAGTTTCTGACAGATGGCATGCTTCTTCGAGAAGCAATTTCAGACTCCTTACTTCGAAAGTACAGCTGTGTCATTTTGGACGAGGCCCATGAGCGGACTATCCACACAGATGTGCTGTTTGGAGTAGTGAAGGCAGCGCAGAAGAGGCGAAAGGAGCTAGGGAAACTGCCTCTCAAAGTATGTGGACTGTGCTTAAGGACAAGGCTGTCTTTCGGGGGTACTTCAGGCACATGGGAGAAAGTTAACCATGGTGGGAGTGATACAGGCCTCAGCCATCTGCTTTGTAGAAATGCTGTCCAATATTTATTTCCCATCCTCATTCTTTTCTGTAGGTGATTGTGATGTCAGCTACCATGGATGTTGACCTGTTTTCTCAGTATTTCAATGGAGCCCCTGTCCTGTACCTTGAAGGTCGGCAGCACCCAATCCAGATTTTCTATACCAAACAGCCTCAGCAGGATTACCTGCATGCAGCGCTTATCTCAGTCTTCCAGATCCACCAGGTATGGAAAGGGATGAAAGTTCCTGGCAAGTTCTGTTTCACTTTACAGTTAATTGTGAGAACAGTTAACCTCTGAAAGTAAAGCAACTGAATCTGAGAGCGTTGTGAGTGGTATCATCAGGAAAAGCTCATTTATGAGTAGTGATGCCTAGCAGGTAAAGGGGCTTGGCTCTGAGCCTGTGGACCTGAGTTTAATCCCTGGGATCCACATGGTCAAAAGAGAGAACTGGCTCTAAAGTTTTCCCATGACCTCCACACGTGCCACTCACACAAATCAATAAATGTAATAAAGTGATCGTCTAAAAAAAAAGGTTTCTTTGCTTTATCTGTTTTGCCTCTTTTGATATTTCCTATTATCTCCAAAAAGAAAAATAAATCAGTTATCGGCAGCTGTTCTCTGAGCTAGAAAGCTCTCATAAGTTAGAAGAGTGGGCTGCATACTCTTTATATTGGAACCTGTGGGGGGAAAGCATACATTATGTTGCAACCCAGTATGCCATTCAAGTATGTCTAGTCTTGCCACGCATCCGGGCTGGCTTCCAACCTGCCACCTTCCTGCCTAGGTTTCCTGAATGCTGCAATTGTAAGTATGTTCCACGCGTGTCCTGGGGTGTTTTCAAGTTTTCGAGAGATACTGCAGAGTATCTTTTTATTTTGTTTTACATTTAGATGTGAGTGATTGAGGCCGGGGAGTGGTTCAGTGAGTAAAGTGCTTGCCTAGTAAGTGTGGCCAAAATTCTTTAATGTAATTTTATTTTTATAAGTTTCTTGTGGGGAGGGGGTGCATGTGTACACTTGATGTGTGTGGGGGAGGGGCAGAGCCCACATACAGAGGTCAGAGGATGACTTTGTGCAGTTGGTTCTCTGTTCTCACCTTTACATGGACAGGCTCAATGGGAGCTCAGTTGCTGAAATTACAATTTCCATGAGGGCGTCAGAGAACTTTCCTCCATCACATGGGTCCTGGGAATTGAACTCAGGCTGGTAGCCTTGGCAGCAGATGCCTTGTAGCACGAATAATAGAAACCCAGAGACAGCTACTGGATTCAAGCTAAAGATCAGAAAAGCAAAACAGTCAAGACACTAGGGAAGTCTTACATCTGCCAAGGCTGGGTGACTGCAGGCTGAGCCTCAGCCTCAGCCTCTGTCTCCTTGTCTTATATTCCCCTTTAGTGCTGGGATTAAAGGCGTGTGACTCCATAGTACTGGGATTAAAGGTATGAGCCACCACCACCTAAATTTGTTTCTGCCTTGATCTTGTGTAGCCCAGGGTGTCCTTGAACTCACAGAGATCCATCTGCCTCTGTCTCCCAAATTCTGGGATTAAAGGTGTGCGACACTTTTGCCTGACCTCTAGTGGCTTAGATCTTCAGGCAAGCTTAATATATTAAAACATAAATAAAATATCACTATAGTGCCTTTTGCCACTGAGCCATCTAACTTAAAGAAGTTTATACAGATTTTCCTAGGCTTTCATTGTATTGTCTTACAATACAATGTTAATTTCCCTGCAAAACTTCCTTACCTGGTTTCAGAACATAGTTGACTGACTTTCGTGGTAACAACTCTGTTCGTTGCTAAGGCTCTTCTCCCAGGGAGGTGCCACTGCCAGACTTGTTTATCTTCATAATTAAAAAGTGAAACAGAAAATAAAAACCCTCTTGGAAACATCATAATCATCAGTGTTCTCTCTCTGTCTCTCTCTAGGAAGCCCCCTCTTCTCAAGACATCCTGGTGTTCCTTACTGGTCAGGAGGAAATTGAAGCAATGAGCAAGACCTGCCGAGACATTGCAAAGCACCTCCCTGACGGCTGCCCTGCCATGCTCGTCCTTCCTCTGTACGCCTCCCTGCCCTACTCACAGCAGCTTCGAGTCTTTCAAGGGGCCCCAAAGGTGAGTGCGGTGCCACCTTTCTGCCAGCCATGTCACTGGGCATCAAGTCAGATCTACAACGGGGCCTGTGTGCCTGTCACCGTGATCCAGGAAAGCTTGAAGGAGGAACATTTAGGTACCAGGTCAGCTACTGGAGAGGAACAGGTGTAGAGTCCACAGCTGCAGGGAGAGACGAAGGAGGGCACAAAGGTGTAGAGACTAAAAGGTTTGGCTCTTCTAAGAGCTGGTATAAGCCACAGCACCCATGTACCATTTGTTTATGTGCCAGACAGTGATGACACATAGATCATCTCTCATTCTCATGGAATCCCATAAGGGATCCTAAGGCCCCCAAGAAGGGAGGTGGGAATTGCTTAAGGCACACATAGCAAGATCCTGGCAAGGCCAGGATTCCAACTCCTATCTATCTACCCACCTTGAATCTTGTTCCACTGCATCTCATTGCCTCAAATTAATCTTCGGGACCTCAGTGAAAGGACCAATGTACTCCTTTCTCTTTGTTCCTCATCAAGTGTAATGACTGAAATTGCTATGACTACTACTACTAATGAAGTCACCTTTTCTTGATCTTAAGCAAATTGTGGAAATGCATGGTTAGAGTTTTCACCTTCTGACTCATGTGTGTGTCATACGGCTTTTTGGTTTTCTTCCTCCTTTTAGGGCTATCGCAAAGTGATCATTTCAACCAACATCGCTGAAACCTCCATAACCATTACAGGAATAAAATATGTAGTTGACACGGGCATGGTTAAAGCAAAGAAGTATAACCCTGGTGAGAAACTGTAGCTCATGAATGTCTCCTGTGTATAGCGAGCACGGTTAAAACCGAAACCCCACCATTTCCTCCTAAGTAAACATTTCATGTTTGTGAGGAGCTGAGATTTGAGTGACAGGGACAGTGTCAAATCATGTCTGTAAAAGAGACCTGAGGCAGGAAGCCTAGAGAGGGAAGAACTCAGTTGCAGAGAACCTAGACAGGATGGATGACAGCCTGGACTGAAGTCTGAAAGGCCACAAGAAGCTGGGTGAGAATGGGGGCAAGAAAGCCAGGGACAGCCTGGTACCGGTGGCGGGCTCTCCAAATGGCTACCAGAGTGTGGCTGTATGGGTTTTCATGGTGCCCAGCTTGGAGCCAGGTGCCCTGGCTGGATAGGGTTCCCAGTAAGCACAGAGGGAGCACCTGCTCTCTCTTCTTATGAGTGTCAAGCTGCCTTGAAGTCAGTTCTATGCATTTCTGATTCATACTCTGCTTTATTCTACAGAGGATTTGGTGCCACTACAATTAATATTGCTCCCCAATATTTAATGGCATGTTCTCTGCTAAGCACTGGAGGGGTCAACTGGTGGCAAAGTGTCGGTCTCTAGTGCCTGACACAAAATATTCCTGTACTTGAGAGAATTGATGTTTTTTACTTACAAGGGGAAAACAATATCACATGATTTGTTTTCTTATAGAACTGGCAGGGAAGACAAAGGACCTTGTCATCATTGGTTGATATATGACCAGCCTTCCGAGTTAGGTAGAAACTCAGCACCAAAATCCCCAAGAAACCCTCAGTGCCGGGCAACTGGGATAGTTGGCCCTCCCATGATGTAAGCCCAAACTTCTGAAACCATTCTCCTGCCACCTTGCTTGCAGAGGGTGTTGTATGTTTTATATAACATTTCACACATGACTCATTGCTAGAATTGTTTCACTGTAAATTTTAAAGTGGTCAAGCAGCCTGGATCTGTGCTTTCTTGTCAAGCCTTGAGTTTTTTCAGGCCCCTATGTTGCAGAAGCACTCAGTGGTACTCAGCATCTTTGGTTTTGCCAGCACTCTAGAAACAGTTTGCTTATGTGATGAAGCAAAACACTCACGGCCCTCTCTCCCTGCAGACAGTGGCCTTGAGGTACTAGCTGTACAACGAGTGTCAAAGACCCAGGCCTGGCAGCGCACAGGGAGGGCTGGCCGAGAGGACAGTGGCATCTGCTACCGGCTCTACACAGAGGATGAGTTCGAGAAGTTTGAGAAGATGACGGTACCAGAGATTCAGAGGTAGGTCCAGGTTGTGTCTGCACTGTGCCATTCATCCCAGCCTCCTTCCCATCTGTTCCTGTCCACAGACTGCAGCCTTTGCTAACGCTCTCTAGGGAGCAGTTTTGTCCCAGTGCGGTCAGGGACAGTTGACTAACCCTCACATCTCCCTCACAGGTGTAACCTGGCAAGTGTGATACTGCAGCTGCTAGCCATGAGAGTCCCAAATGTCCTCACCTTTGACTTCATGTCCAAACCATCTCCAGGTAAGCTGGAAGGTAGACAGACAGACAGACAGAAAATAGCACATGAGCTCTTCCCCCCGGGAAAAGTATTTTGAGGAAGAAAAAAAGTATTTTGATCATATTGTTTTGCTGATTTGATTTCATTTGTTATGAAATGGTAGGTTCTATGTAATAGCACCATTGTGCAGGGACCAGAGGTCATCAGGCATCCATGGGACACCCATAAAGCCCAATGAAATGATAAAGAGCATGCGCCTTTGTGTTAAACTAGGATTTGACTAGTCCCTCCCTTCATTAGTAATCTCTCCTGGAGGAAGAACCTTTAGAACTAACAATAAATGGTGGCAACGTTGGCATCTAGACCCTTATCACCATGCCATTTTTCTTTTGTTTAAGGAAATGCAGTTGTTGAGAGTAAACTATCAATAGGTGTCCCAGATCCCCCCTGGTCAGTTCTTCTCTCAAGAGACATCTGGCTGTCTTCTGAACAAAAATTTGTCCCTGTGGGTGGGAATTTGTAAATCTTAAAAAAAGAAAGAAAGAAAAGAAAAGAAAAAACACATAGGGCACACTGATCTACTCGTAATATATTTTCTTCATTTTGAAATTCCTAAAAAGGAGCAGTAAATATAAACTGTAAAGTGTAATACAGCCAGCATCTGTGTGATGCTACGCACACCATGGAAGCCAAGCTTCTGACATTTGTCTCTTCCCCATTCCTCTGGGTATCTGCTCCCCATGATTGTTTTATACGTCTCTTGCTTGTAGTACCATTAAAGCTTAGGAAGGTGTGAGCTCAGTGGCGGGTGGTCTTGGCAATGTTTGTAGAGTTATAAGCATCCAGAAGCACTCAAATAGCTGCATCTTCTTCCTGTTTTGGACTTCTGGCTCCTTTTTATGTCTCCATTTCTGTAGATCACATTCAGGCGGCCATTGCCCAACTGGACCTGTTAGGTGCTCTTGAACATAAGGATGACCAGCTTACCCTGACTCCAATTGGAAGAAAGATGGCAGCATTTCCTTTAGAGCCCAAATTTGCCAAAGTAAATGACCCCTCCTCCCTCCTCTTTTCCCTTTCTCTACATTGCAGGTTAGGAAATGCCTAAGCCCAGTGCTTCTGAACTAACCTCATTGGTTCTCTTAAATATGACATATCACCCCACTTTGTGTACCGTGCTAATGTATGTTGTGTGTGGGATTCAGACATCAGTCATAGCCCTACCCACAAAGGTGTGGGATCCTGTGGGAATGGCATCTTTCTGTTTTACAAAGAAGTGAATGGCATTGACCCTACATTACGGTCTTAAAGCCACCACACTCCTTGAAGGGAAACTGCACAAGAGTGTACAGAAACACTAACTGGAAGCTAGGAAACCTGACCCATGTGATAAAATTTGACTTTCCAGACTATCCTCCTGTCCTCCAAATTCCACTGTACGGAAGAAATTCTGACCATAGTCTCCCTGCTGTCTGTGGACAGTGTCCTTTATAACCCTCCTGCCCGGAGAGATGAAGTGCAAAGTGTCCGGAAAAAATTCATATCCAGTGAGGGGGATCACATCACCCTGCTCAACATCTATCGCACCTTCAAAAACCTAGGTGGGAATAAGGTGAGCCATATCCATTCTTTCAGGCCTGTTTTTAAGTATACTTTTTTTTTTTTTGACAAAATCATCAAAAAGAGTTGCACACACAAAGCCACCTGTCATCTCAGAAATGGGTACGTGCTGGGAATCACTAGAACAAAACATATAGTTCAGGTATTCATTCAAATTGTGGACAAGTTAATTAAGTAGACCCTATCTCAGCCACTCAATTATTTTTTTCTTCTTTTCTTTTTATTTTTTTTATTTTTTTTTTTTTTGTTTTGAGAGAAGGTCTCTCCGTAGCCCTGGCTGTCCTGGAAATCATATTTAGACCACACTGGCCTTGAGCATACAGAGACCCACTTGCCTTTGCGTCCCGAGTGCTGGGACTAAAGATGTGTGCCACTACGCCTAACTTTTTTTTAAAAAATATTTATTTATTTATTATGTATACAATATTCTTTCTGTGTGTATGTCTGCAGGCCAGAAGAGGGCACCAGACCTCATTACAGATGGTTGTGAGCCACCATGTGGTTACTGGGAATTGAACTCAGGACCTTTGGAAGAGCAGGCAATGCTCTTAACCGCTGAGCCATCTCTCCAGCCCCCACACTATGCCTAACTTTAGTCCTTTTGAGATAGGCCATTTTATAAAGAAAAGAGATGGCTCGTGTTCTGGTAAGATTTAGAAGCCTTGTCTGATGCTTCAAGGTAAAACAGTACCACTCAGCAAGAGGACTTCAGTGTATGTGTGTCTGGTCTCTTCCCCTTCACCTAATTAGTAGCCAATGGGGATCCAATTATGGGGCTCTACCTTCTGACCTTATTTAACCCTAGTCATTTTCCAGGTGTCCTACTGCTATTATAAACAGCATAATTTTTAAGTTGGGCTGTTTGTGTGGTGTGTGTGTATGTTTGCCTTCTTGTGTTTCTGAGCACTACTTACTTGACTGTTTTTGTGGAGGCTAGAGGCATCAGATTCCCAGGGATGGGTATAAGCCACCATGTGAATGTTGGACATTTTACTTGATCTTCTTAAAGAACAGGTTGACCTGTGTCGCCAGCCCCTAAGTCTTTAAAATTTGTTTTGCTTTTTCAAAACAGATTCTTACTACATAACTCCAAAAGCTGGAATTTTCTATGTAGGCTGACCTCAAATTCATTGAGAGCTGCCTCTTCCTGCCAAATGCTAGGATGAAGAGCATGTGCTACTATTATGCCCAACTATTTATTTTTAAGGGGGTTTGGTTTGGTTTGGTTTGGTTTGGTTTTAGTGTTTTCAAGAGAGGGTTTCTTAGTGTAGCCCTGGCTGTCCTGAAATTAGCTCTTGTAAGACCAAACTGGCCTCAAACTCACAGAGATCTGCCTGCCCCTGCCCCCTGCCTCCTGAGTGCTGGGATTAAAGGTGTGTGCCGCCACCACCTTGCTTGTTTTGTTTTTTGGGACAAGATCGTACTATGTAGCTCTGGCTATCCTGAACTCATTGTGTAGATTAGGCTGGCCTTAAACTCAGAGATCTGCCTGAAGTGCCACTACACCCAGCTTATTTTAAATTTAAATTGCACTTTGTTTGCTTGTTTATATGGGGGCGAGGGAGCATATTGTGGAAGTCAGAAGACAACTTTCGGTTCTATCCTTCTATCATGTGCATCCAAGGGCTCGAACTTGGGTCATTAGGCTTGGTGGCAAATACTTTTCTACAGAACCATCTTACTGGCCCACAAATGCTATAACTGAACTAAGTAATGTTTCACAATAGGGATTCAATGAAACTGAAGAATATTCAAACCATACAAGATGGTGTTCTTGCCTACCTATTCAACTTTTATATTAGTTTTTTGATATCATACTTCAGTTCCTTATACTAAGATGAAAAATGGTCAGTATATTCTCTTGTGTGTTAATAAATCAAAATTGTGCTTTAGTGAATTCTTTTTAAAAAATGCTGCCTTGCAATTTTAGCATTTGTTCACCTTGCTATATTTACTTTAGTTTATTTCTATTTACACTTTGTGTTCAAACATGCATGGGTGTGTGCACACACACATACACAGGTGTGCTACATGGCACCTGTAGAGGTCAGAGGACAACTTGGAGGAACTGATTCTGTCCTTCTATAGTATGGGTCCAAGGGGTTTAATTTAGGTATTCAGATTTGGCAGCAGGCATCTTTCCCAGCTGAGCTCTCTCGCTGGCCCTCAATTTATATTTAAACAAAGTGCTGAGTTATTCCTTACTGAAGACTGACCTGCCATTGGTGTGTGTCCCACCAAGAGGCTGTCATCCGTTTGTTTGTCTTTAAAGCAGGGTCTTGCTTATATGTGTAACCCAGGTTGATTGTCAGCCTTCCAAGTGTTGGACCATAGGTATGTGCCACCACACCCAGCACTAAGGATATGCTTTTTAACAGGGCCTGGTAGACTGTGCCAGGCTGTATGATAAGACTGTCTCAAAACAAACAGGAAAGGGGACACATCCTTCACATCCATCCACATTCTGTCCTTTCGGCTGCATCTCTCTCCATCACCACAGTGGTGTTCTGCTCAGGGCCCCCTGTGCTCACAAGGGAAATTCTGTGGGGCCAACAAGTGAGCAAGTAGACTTACTGGGCTGGGTTCTGCAGCTCAGTTTCTCTGGGAAGCAGGCACTTCCAGGCTGGCAGTCTTTCCTGCAGTGTGGGAGAATGCCCATCTCCACTGTTCCTCCAGCTGTCGATTGGAATCACTTGTACCATCTGTTTTTCCAATGTTCTTAACCTTATTGCCTCTATCCCTCAGGAAACAAGCATCCTTACATATATGTATTAGGCATTTCTATGTCTTTTGTTTATTTTTCACCAATTTCTTGGTCTTTTCTCACTGGTATTTAATAATATTCTAGAGGTGCTCTTCCTTTCTGGGTATGGCGGTGCATTCATTGCCAGCATTGCCGGTAACTTTTTTTCATGACGACTCTAGGAAGGAAATCTTAAAGTTTTATTTCAGATTCAACAATTCATATTTTTAATGGTTCATACTTTTCAGTATAAAGGTATTGTCCTATATCCTTTTGACACCTGAACAAGCCTCTGAATTCAGCAGTGCAGTCTGGATTGGTTACATGCATGTTTCCTCTGCCTAGAAATAAGAGGCTTGAGATCTCTTCTTTGTTCTCTTCAGGATTGGTGCAAAGAGAATTTTGTCAACAGCAAGAATATGCTACTAGTAGCTGAAGTCAGAGCACAGCTGAGGGAAATCTGCTTAAAGGTAGTACCTCTTTTTCAATGAGAAGTTCTTGTTTTATTGTGGGGGTCTTGGATTGCTTGCTGCTAGTGGTATGAGAGGAATTCTCATTGTGGAAAAATTTAAATGTACAAGAATGTAAAATCTACCCATAGTTCCACTCTTTCTTTCTTTCACTGTTGTGGTTTATTTGGGTTTGCTTGTTTTTTCTTCCCCTCCCCACCCCCACCTCATTCTAGTGCAGGCTGGAACCCTGAATCTCATGCATAAATTTTTATAAACTTTTTAACTATTTTCTGATTTTAAAAAGTACTGCTAAAAATTAAGAAGGAAAATTGGTTCCAGACTTCTGGAGCCTTGGAGTTGTTTGCTTAGTGAGCTTGCCTGCAGGATGGAGTGTTTTAGTGTTTTACCTCCCTTTAGAACAGTCTCTCTCTCTCTCTCTCTCTCTCTCTCTCTCTCTCTCTCTCTCTCTCAGAGGGCCTGTGGTATAGAAGTTTAGAGGTTCCCCTGCAGCTAGAGTTACAGATGGTTCTGGGTACTTTGACTTGAACCCAGGTCCTCTGAAAGAGAAACCAGTGCTCTTAAGTTCTAAGCCATCTCTCCAGCCCACATCCTGTATCTTTCTGGTTTTTCGAGGTCGGGTTTTTCTGTAGCTTTGGAGCCTGTCCTGGAACTCTCTCTGTAGAACAGGCTGGCCTCAAACTCACAAAAATCTGCCTGTCTGCCTCCCAAGTGCTGGGATTAAAGGCTTATGCCACCACACTGCTCGGTTCCCATCCTGTATCTTAAAAATGCTTCTCTTCAAACTGGATGGTTTCCATCTATTTTCCCTCACCTGTGCCCTCATCCTTCACCTGAGCTGTTGCCTATGGCAATTGAAATGCTACCTTTGGATGTCAATCAAGATTTCACTTTGTGTTGGCCGCTCTTTAGGTCTTGCTGCTCCCTTGCGCTGTACAGTGCTGGGGAGGGTTAATATTTGGGGTCTTTTCTGTTTCCTAAAACAGATGTCAATGCCAATCGTGTCATCTCGAGGGGACATGGAGAGTGTCCGCCGCTGCCTGGCTCACAGCCTTTTTATGAGTACTGCTGAACTCCAGCCAGATGGCACCTATGCCACCACAGACACACACCAGCCAGTGGCCATCCACCCATCGTCTGTCCTGTTCCACTGCAAACCTGCCTGTGTGGTATACACTGCACTACTCTACACCAACAAATGCTACATGCGTGACCTCTGTGTTGTGGATGCTGAGTGGCTCTATGAGGCTGCCCCTGACTACTTCCGGAGGAAGCTGAGAACTGCCAGAAACTGATCCACCCCAGGATGCTGCCAGCATGGCTGGGCCTGGAACTTAGATCACAGCTATCTTCCAGGTAGACTCAGAAACTGGAGGAACCGTACACTTCAGTGCAGCCAGACTTGCTGAGTTCAAGAGCTTGGAAGTGCTCATGAAACTCCTTAGACTCAGCCTTGTAGACGTGCTCATGCCTAGACCGTGAGATACAAGACTTGTGCTTTGGGTTTGACTGGGAAATTTCTAGTGACTGAATTAACTTCTGAGCCTCAGTTTCTTCATATGCCAGAGGGGGATAAGACTTAGAAGTTCAGAGTAATGAAGTTTAGAGGAAATGAACAGAAAGCTACCCAGAGGTTTGCCTGGCACAAGATAAGACAATCAGTGAATTATAAGCCATTGTGCTTTGTGATATAATTAGGTACAACACAGCCCCTTGAGCTCTTGTGACTGGGGAAGGGGAATGTTTCTTGGAGGAGCCATAGGAAGCTACAGATTCAATTGGTTGACCTCAGTGTTTTTCCCCCTTGTTTCCTTCTCATAGAACACAGGACCTCATGCATGCTATGCAAACACTCTGCCACTGAGCCAATCCCCAGCCTCCACTACTATTTAAAGACCTGTATGTCTTTGAAATAGAAAACAGAAGAAACTGACTCCCTTAGATATTGCCAGAATAAGGTATATTCTGACCTGTTGGCCCTCATGGCTCAGGGTGTAGCTCCTTTTCTTCTCTGCCTCCAAGCAGAAACCAGCAAAGGAGTTCCTTGGTTGGTCCTCAGTGCCTCTGTGGTTGTGTCCCCAGCAGTGTTTTCAGGAGACATGCAGGTTTCCTGAAATTGGGAAGCCAACTTTTCAGTGCAGTGGCCTTCTGAAGCCCAGTGGTCGTTTTCTCTTGGGTGGGCACCTACGAATGTGTGCCCATGAGGAGACTTCACGCCCATTCCAGCAGTCTCTGTTCAGGTGAACCGTAATCAGAACTGCTGGGTAGCAGGGATGGGACAGATGCTTGACAGCTCAGAAGCTGGGCATCAGTTCGTCCTTTTCACCACTCCCAGTCTTTGTGGTTTTGGCCTTACTGGTTTTTTTCCTCTTTGTTGCGGGGACCTGGGGAGAGTTAACTTTGCCACTTCCTAACCAGGTGCCACTCTCCGACCTTCATTGTCTACATTTGTCAGAGGGAAGTAGAGAAGCCTTGTCATTCCCTTTCCTGTCCAGAAAAGATTCATCTTGGTTGGTTGTTAGGAGCAAATAGTCCCTGTTGTAGTGATCATACCTGTAACCCAGCTGAGGGGAGGACTGGGGGTTCTAGGCCAGCCGGGGCTGGGCCTTGTATCCAAGTGGAGGGGAAGAGAGAGGAGAGAAAAAGCACACTTTCCCAGGAAATGTTTGAACCCAGAAAAAGCCAAATACAGCCCTTTAATTAGTTGATCCAGACACAGCTCTACTACTAGGATTTTGTCATTTATAAATTGTGCTTTTGAGCAGGGGGCCAAACTGCCTACAAGGTACTTGTACTACAAGACAGGAGGCAGTTTCTTCTCTCTGGGTCCAATATGTTCTTTCCAGAGAGCATAGCCTAGTGAGCACTTCTATTCCCAGGGTCGCACTGGTCCACAGCTGCGTATATTGGATCTGGTCTGGGCTTTATTCTAACCCTAACCATGAGCAATCAAGCTTTTAGTCAGTGTTTAGGGTTGTCTGGGTATTCGTGACTTCTTTGATAAAATGGTTACATTACCAACTTTCTGAAAAGCTATTGAGAAAATTTTTTCTTTTTAAAGTGTATTTTTCCTATTTACACAAAGGGGCAGGGGTGTTTATTTAGCCTTGCTTGGTAAGAGAAGCTTTTATATTTTTAGTGGAACATTCATTTTGCTGGTTAAAGAAAACAAGGGGGAGGCAATATATTCCTTAGCAATGAACAATTTCCCACAGTAAACTAAGAGGGTGTTTTCTGGGTCAGTAAAAACTTAGCTTGTATTGATTGACTCCAAAGCAGGTACTGGGAACTTAACTTGGAGTGACTGGCTCCTACCCAGAAAAGGAGTGAAGGACAGTTGGAGTAAATTTAATGTTTCTGTACAGAAATATGTTCATCACTTTAACATTGTGGTAGAATTTTAAAAGAGTACTTAGTTTTTTTATTGGACTTTTTAAAAAATAGCTTTTTAATAAAGCTGCTCAGGGATTAAATCAGATGGAAATCCCATTCTGACTCCGTATCACTACAAAGAAGTTAATGATTGCTTGAGCTGCAGGGACGGTGCCCTTTAAGCTTTCTTAAGTAAGTAAAACGTTGCTTGGCAGTGGTGGCACCGTACTGTCTTTAATTCCAGCACTTGGGAGGCAGAGGCAGGTGGATCTCTGTGAATTCGAGACCAGCCTTGTCTACAGGAGCAAGTTCCAGGACAGCCAGAGCTACACAGAGAAACCCTGTCTAGAAAAACCAAACCAACAAAAAGTCAACTGTTTCGTGGTTTTACTGCGATGCGACCTGAACTGCTTTTCAGTTGGCAACCTCTCCAGCCTGAAGAATCCAGTCTGCGCAGAGGAGCCTCGAACAGATGAACTTCACACAGCTGTGCTGCAGCACCCAGGGCAACGGTTTCATTACCAGGTCCCCAGTGAAAACCTTTGCACCTCTGCCAGTTGTTATAAGATTTCAAAACAGCAAAACATTTACTGTGACACAAATCCTTGTACTCCAACTACCAGGGTCTGTTTGGAACTGTGGCCATGCATCCAAGATGCCGTTCTTGAGCACATAAGCTAGACCGTACTGTACTGTGGGGGATTTTATATTGATTGCTGTTGTGTAGGAAAAATTAAAGCGCAAAGATACCAAGTTGATTTGGACTTTGCTGTATTCTATCTGATCTCAAACATAACATAAAAACAGTTCTTGTGTGCAATGCTTAAATTTTCTTTTGACTATCAAATCTATAAAAATATGAATCTTATTTATATATGTGGCCTTTTGGGGGGCCTCCTTTCCCTTGTTTATAGAATGATATTTGGAATAATAAACATTAGTCTTATTGGCATTCATTTGGAAAGACTTGTTATCTATTTAGTTTTGGTTTTGATTTTTTTTTTTTTTTGGTTTTTTTGAGATAGGGTTTCTTTGTGTAGCCTTGGCTATCCTGGAACTAGCTCTTGTAGACCAGGCTGACCTCAAAGTCCCAGAGATCCACGTGCCTCTGCCTCCCAAGTGCTGGGACTAAAGGCGTGCACCACCACCGCCCAGCTTGATTTCTTGATTTTTTTTTTTTTAAGATTTATTATGTATACAGTGTTCTGCCTGCTTGTATGCTTGCATATCAGAAGAGGGCACCAGATCTCATTACAGATGGTTGTGAGCCACCATGTGGAATTAAACTCAGGGACCTTTGGAAGAGCAGGCAGTGCTCTTAACCAATGAGCCATCTCTCCAGCCCCCAGCCTGATTTTTTTTTTTTTTTTTTTTTGAGACAAGATCTATGTAACCTTGACTGTTCTAAAACCCACTGTGTAGACCAGGATGAGAGAGCTGTCTGCCTCCCAGGTGCTGGGAGTATAAGACATGAGCGTTTGATGTTGTTTGCTATTGACTGGTGTTCATGGAAGTCAAAAAAGGGTGTCTGATGCCCTAGAACTTGAGTTAGATGGTTGTGCTCCTCTGCAAAAGCAAATGCTCTTAACCACTGAAACCTTATCTCCAGCCCCCTAGTATCCTTGATTCTTAACCTAAATGATGATGTAAGCCATGAATTCCTGTTCCCAGGAAAATGATAGTCCATTTAAAAAACAAAACAACAAAACAAAAAACTGGTTGAATTAATAGGAGGTATAGAGGTTTCCAAAATGAATGCCTACTCCCAGGCAGCTGGGTGCAGGCCAGCCTGAGCGTTCCCCATACTTGGTGGTTCCAGAAGACCTTGAAGTGAGGTGGTATTTGAATAAATGGTCCTGCCTGAGTTGGCGTGAGACCTGAGCACATTCCAGGAAGTAATAAAGCCTGGTGCGGGTTAAGAAAAGTGGGTGAGTTGGGAAGAGAAGGCAGCACCGCGGAGAACACTACGACGGGATTCGAGGCCTCCCCCAGCTGCATTGGCGGCTCCCAGCAGAGGGCGCAGTCTGGTCCGGGGCTTGTCGCCCTCTGACGTAAAAGAGCTTCCCGGGCGGAGGCGGGACTTCCGGTAGTACGCGGTTTGGTAGGGTGTGTTGGTCGGGTTGTCCTTCTCTCGCACGTGCCTGCTCTGCGATGCTTCCCTTGCTGCGTTGCGTGCCCCGCGCCCTGGGCGCCGCTGCCTCGGGCCTCCGCGCC